GCTCTGGGCCAGGCTCTGGGCCTGTGCCTGAGTCCCATTCCCAGGAGCCTATCCAGCTTCTCTGGAAGCTCTGTGTTCCCCACCCCAGGAATATGGGCCGGGGGCCGGCATGAGAGGTGTGAGTACCTGCAGAGGCTCTAGAATGACTAAAATAAAGCGTAAATCATTTTAACAAGTGTATTCATAACTATGCGCTTTCAAAATAAACCATCACAGAGTAACTTCTCATGTATGTGATAGTCAGGGAATGAGGTATTTTCCATGTGGGAATTTTCCAGCTGACTGACTTGTACCATTGATCTGAGCAGTTCTGGATCCGAATCATTCCCAGATGAATCACACCCCTCCATGTCTCCGCAGACAGAACACCAGCTGACATTCTATAAGCCTGAAGGGACTCCAGTGCATCCACCAGACCCCTGGGTTCCCAGATGGAATTTAACCTTTTCCCAATGATTCCCAGTCCCCACAGGAACACTCCCAATAGCACAGAGAGGCCCATAAGTCCTGGTGGTAGCAAACCTCTGGGATCCGAAGTCGGGCTCTGGGGTGTCCAATCTCAGCCCTGGAAGATCCATCCAGCTGATCCTGGAAGGTTTGAGGACTCAAGGGAAAAGGAGCTGGACTCACTGCTCCCCAACTTCCCCCAGACCCACACACTGATACCCCACAACCATCTCTGGCAGAGCTTCCCTCTTGCAGAGCCCCAGCACTGCCAAGCCTTGGGGACACAGAGCATAAGAGACAGAGAGAACATGTGAGGTCCAGTCAGGACAGAAGCCACCAGGCAAGATGACTACTCAGTCCAGGAGTCCAGTTCTAGGGGGCCAAGGATCAGGAATAAAGTGAAATGTGTTCTTGTGGGTGCTACTGAGTTGATTCTGACTCATATGGGCCCATGTATGACAGAGCAGAACTACCCCAAAAGGTTTTCTTGGCTACTGAAGGAGCTCTGGTAGCGTAGTGGTTACAAATCGGGCTGCGAACCGCAAGGTCAGCAGTTCGAAACTACCAGCTGTTCTGCAGGAGAAAGATGAGGCTTTCTGCTCCCGTAAAGATTTACAGCCTTGGAAACCCTATATACGGTCGCTATGGGTCGGAATCAACTCGACGGCACTTAACAACAATTACTGAAGTAGATTGCTAGGTCTTTCTCTCCCATGGCTCCAAATACCACCACCATGTGTCCAGACAGTGGGCACAGATCAATGGATAATATAAGCTTTTCCTCATTCTCCACAATGTTCGTGTTTTAGGCTGGAAACAAAGGGCCTAACTCATGTCTAATTTGGTCCCTCAATGGAATCTGTGACATGGATGAACACCAGCATATAGAAAATACGTTCGAGGAACAGTCATCTGAAAGGATGACCCACAGGGTTCCTCAGGGCTTCCTGTCCAGACCCTGAAGAGCCATGAGGAAACTGTCTACATTTTCAAATCTAAAAAAGACCTAAGATATGTTCCCATCAAGAGTGCTTTGGGCTCCTAAAGTAGAAGAAAGTATCTAAGGACCTGAAATCTTTGAATTCTGAAAAATCTCTGAATTATGAATGTGGATCCTGACTGAGGTCTGGACAGCCATCTTTGGACACTAAATCAGAACTCAGTGGTGGAGAGCTTCAAAAGGCCAATCAGACCGTGCCCCACACCTCTTCCTTCTGCTTAAAACCTTCCCAAGGGCTCCCCAGATGAAGACAGAACCTAAATCCTGGTCTGTAAGGCTCGCCACAGCTGGCCCCACGCCTGCCCCTCTAACAACATGGCTTCCATCTTTCCATCTCATGTTGACATTCAAATTACCTCAATCTTCCGGGCCTGGGACACAGCAAGTCCTCCTGGCACAGGGCCTTTGTACAAACTATTCCTCCATCTGGACTCCTCCTGGCCTAGTTAATGCCTCCCCTTCAGACCTCTGCTCCCGCGTCCCTTCCTCATGGAAGCCTCCCCCTGTGCCCCGGTCCAGGTCAAATTCTGGGTCACCCCCTTGACTCCCGTCTGTGGGTCTGTGGGCTCCATGAGAGCCAGGATCACAGCACTGTGCCCAGAAAGAGCTCAGTGGAATTGGCAGACGGGGTGAGCTGTCTGGTGTGTTCATCTCGAGGTACTAACAGGGCACACACACAAACCCACTGCCATCGAATCAATTCTGACTCAGAGACCCTATAGGACAGAGCAGTGTTTCTGAGGCTGGCAATCTGAAAAGATGCAGGCTGCTCCATCTTTCTCCCATGATGGGCTCAAATGCTACGTTCAAACTACCAACCTTTCCATTGACCCACTGCACCACCAGGCCACACAGACCACTAGTTAATATGGGTACAGTAACATGCAGCTAGTCCCAGTTGGGCATTTGTTCTCATCCTTGGAGCTTTATATAGCCACACAGTCACGGAGTCTGTGAATGCCAGCACAGGAAAACCGGTGCTACTAGCTCCAAAAAGAAGCAAATGGTGAGAAAGAAAGGGAGGGAATCCCATTAACATTAATTAAGCACTGACTGTGTATGGGAGTCCTGGTGTGGTGCTGTGGGTTAATACAATGGACTGCAAAGTCGGTTTGAATCACAAGGTTGGCAGTTTAAGCTCACCAGCAGTTCCTCGGAAACCCTATACAGGTTCGCGATGGGACAAAACCAACTCAACAGCACTTAACAGCAACAATCCTACTACTAGATCCTGGTGTGGCACTGTGGGTTAAGGTGCTGGACTGCAAAGTCATTTGATTCGCAAGGTTGGTGGTTCAAGCTCACCAGCTGCTCCTCTGAAACCCTATATGGGGTCGCTATGGGTCGGAACCAACTTGACAGCACTTAACAAGAACAATCTATGCTACTATGTATTAAATTGCTGGGCTTCCTGCTTCCAGATGCCAATGTTTACAGTAACCCTTAGAAAAACAGATTCACGCTCATGGCAACCCGTGTGTGTCCAAGTAGAAGTGTGTTCCATAGAGTTTTCAATGGCTGGTTTTGTTGAAACTAGACCATCAGGCATTTCTTCCAAGGTACCTTCCTGGTAGGCTCAAAGTGCCAACTGTTTGGTTAGCATCCAAACAACCCAGAGAGTCCTTGTTATTCTTGTTGCTGTTGGGTCCATTCTGAGTCATAGTGACCCCGTGCACAACAGAAGGAAGCAGTGCTAGCTCCTGGCACCATCCTCACAATTGTTATACATGTGAGCCCACTGGGGCTGCCACTGTGTCGATCCATCTTGTCGAGGGTCTTCCTCTTTTTTTTTTTGCAGAACCTCCACTTTACCAAGCAAGATGTCCTTCTCCAGGGACTTACCCCTCCTGATAACTTGTCCAAAGTATGAAAGACGAAGTCTCGCCACCCTGGCTTCCAAAGAGCATTCTGGTTGTACTTCTAAGATTTGTTTGTTCTTCTGGCAGTCCGTGGCACTCACATACATAATTCAAACACCATAATTCAAATATATTGATCCCTTAGCAACCCCTAAAAGGTAGACAATACTGTTCTCAGTTCTGATAGGCCAGGAAAAGCTCAGCGAGGCCAAGTCATTTACATAAAGATACAGCACTAGTAGGTTCCTGGTCTGTCTGATACCAGTGTCCAGCCTCTTTCCATTTTCCACATTGCATGGGAATCCCACTACAGGCTCAAGGAACAGTGTTCCCTCCCGTGAGTGGTGGGCAGGGGTCCAGAGACTAGTCAGGGGACCCTGAACCCATGTGAGCACCCAACATGGCCCAACTCTGAATAAACTAGAACCTCACCTGTTTAATACAACACAAATTCCTCTCAACAGGCTGACTGATTTTGTGGCCATTATATCAGAGAAGGTTAAGTGCTCAGCTGCTAGACAAAAGGTCAGTGGTTTGAACCCACCCAATGACTCTATGGGAGAAAACCCAGTGACCTGTTCCTGTAAAGATCATGACCAAAAGAACCCCATGGGGAAGTTCTGCTCTGTCATATGGGGTCACTATGATTTGCAGTTGATTTGACATAAAAACAACATACTAGGGAAAGAAAGCTGAGGTGTGTTCATGCAGAAATGCTGAGCATTTAGTGGGCTTTTCCTTCCATAGGGTGTAACAGAGCTATGTTGTTGTTGTTAAGTGTTGTCGAGTCGTTTCCAACCCATAGCAACCCTGCACAGGGTTTCTGAGGTGCAGCTGGTGTGTTTGAACTGCCGCCGACCTTGCAGTTCAAATGCATTTGCAGTCTGACGCATTAACCCACCGCGCCACAACAGAGCTATAGGGGATATAATATTGGTGGGGTGGGGGAGGGAAGCACAGTACTTTTACCAGTTGTGTAAAAAAAGTAAATGAATATCCAGTCATGTTGCTAAGTGCCATCCAGGTCAAGTCAGTTCCGACTCATAGAGACTCTGTATAGGGTTTTGAGTATGACCCACTGGCCTCGCTGCCCAGCGCATTAACCCACAGCATCACAACAGCACAATACTTTATAACAGACAGACTCTGAAAAGATCCACAGGTTCCATCTTGCCTCTAGGGAGGAGAACTTGGGGCAGTTTTTCACTATTGACCCTTTTTACCATTGATTGTTCCCAGATTTAAGGAACAGAAATAAGTTTTTAAAAATTTAAATAACCATCAACTGTAAAAAGGCTACTGCAAGAGAGAGCAACACTCAACTCAAGGATGGAATTCCAGGTAAGACATTTCTGGACCCTGTTCTGTCTCTGTACAGGAAGGAGCTGTAATTGAGCCTGGACTCAAACACCAGACTCCTCAAGAAGTGACCTTGCAAACCTGGCCTTCTTTCATCTAAGGCACACATTCATCACACATTGTTCCAGCCCGCCAAGGCCTGGGAAGGAGACCTCATTTTTGCTTTATCAGACTAGACCATGCTGTCTGTGCCTCTCCACCCTGCAGCCCCATCCTGACCCCCAGCTCCCCATGAACCTGCACCTGCACGGACACCCAGCCCTGCTCCCATGCATCCTGCACCCCCACCCTGACACCCAGCCCTGTTCCCCATGATTCTGCACCCCCACACTCACATGGACAGCACCTTTACTTCCAGGATTTCATTCCTCAGCTCCAGGCATCTTGAGGAGTTATATTCAAAGGGCCCCTTGTAAAATTCAAAGTACCTGGAACCAACAGGGACAAAGGTTACACAGAGAACTGGGGCCAGGCTTTGAGGGGGGACATGAGGGCCCTTGGGGAGGGGTCTGTCCTGTACCCTAGCCCCACCCCACCTCTAGAAGACCCCCTGGTGCAGGGGGCTCAGAAGGACCACGGGGGCCTTGGGCTTGACTGTACGGGGCGTGCACCTGGCCACGTGGAGGAGGTCAGCATGGAGCCATAAACAAAAGTCCATGACATTGGTTCTAACTCATATAGTTTTCCAATCACTCAACGGAAGTGAAATCTAGTGTCCGGGCTGCTGGCTGCTAAGAAAAGCTCTAGGTTCTAATGATCATTGTTGTTGTTGTTGTTAAGGTCCATCAAATCAGTCCCAACTCATAGCAAACCTGTATAGAGTTTCTGAGGAGTGGCTGGTGAATTTGAACCGCCGACCTTGTGATTCAAACCCACCTTGCAGTGGGGGTAGTGTGCCGTGTGGTGGTGATGTGCTGTGAAGTCAGTTCCAACACATAGCCAGAGGCTGTAAATCTTTATGGGAGCAAAAAGCCACATCTTTCTCCTGTGGAACTACTGGTAGTCTTGAACTGCTGACCTCTAAGTTAGCAGCCCGACTCATAACCACTACACTACCAGAGCTTACAGGTGGGGTTTCTCCTAGAGTTCTCAGGGAGCTGAGAGAATCGTAGTTATGTCTGAGATGTGCTTCTTAATTAGCTGTGTGCCTTTGAGTAAATCACTCCTCCTTTCTAGGAATCATTTTTCTCCTCCATTAAGTAAGTTGTATGATGAAAGGCACTGAATTTCTGTTAAATGTGATGCAACAACTTAGAAATGAAGAGTGCTGATGTCTGCACAACGTGGGGTCACAATGTCATTGAATTGTACACATAAAGATGGTTGAAATGCTAGTGTTTTTATAATATACAAGGGGCTTCAAAAAGATTGTGGGAAAATTCCATTATTTTTTCATTTCATTTTTCCATGAATTTTTGAAACCCCCTCATATATTTCACCATAATAATTTTTTTTTATTATGTAGTTAATATTACAGTCCAGGAACAGAGGACCCTAGGATCATCAAAGGAGAAGAGCACAAGCGGAATACAGGACCCTATCCAGAGAAACAGCGACACCAGAGATGAGGACATGGAGAAATAGAGCAGCTGAGGACTCTAGACTCATGGAGAGAAAAAGGCGGTGTGCTGGTGGCCAGGTGCTAGTGGCCAGGAGGGATGTTTGCAGAATGTGCCCTTTGGTTGTTTAAATGATTATAGATTCCTGAGTGTTTTTGAGTACATCTCTCCCTCCCCCCTCAAAAACCACAAAACAAAACAGAGGGAATAGAAGCAAACACTGTTGAATGATGATGGACTGAGGAGATTGTAATCACTACAATGAAATGATGAGTGTAAAACTTATGTTCCCCATGTAAAGTATCACTCAATTTAAAAAAACAAAACAAAACAAAAACTGCTCTATGCATGGATCTAAAGCCTCAGCTTTCCCATCTCAAAAATGGAGCTAATAGCACATCACTCTCCACCCTACCTGAATTTTTGCTCTTTGGGCTTATGCTGTTCCATCTTAAGGAGTTCCTGGGTGGTGCAAACCGTGGAGCATTAAATTACTAAACAATAGGTTGGCAGTTCGAAACCACCTAAAGGCACCTCAGAAGAAAGGTCTGGTGATCTGCTTCTGAAAGTCACAGTCTTGAAAACCTTTTGGAGCAGTTCTACTCTGTGCACGTGGGGTCACCATGAATTAGAATTGACTCTACCGTAACTGGTTTGTACGGCTTTTTTGTTTGTTTGTTTGTTTGATTTCTTGCTCTCTTTTTGGTTTTGGCTGCACCTCACACTGAGCCACCCCTAGAGTCTGCTTCTGACAGGATGCCCAAGACTGCATTTTGGAGGGAGCCATAGCAACCCCTCCTGGCTCTGGATACAGGACATTGTGCAGATGTCAAAAACGACATTGCAATGATTTTCATGTAATGACATGTGGAGGTGCTCATAGGAGTAAATTCTCCAAAAAGAATAACCAATAGATGAAGGCATGGGACAGAGAATAACTGTAACAAAATATTACTAGTGGGTTTCTTTGGGTGATGGAAAGATGGCCGATTTTCAAATACTTTACTGTATTTTTTATAAGTTTACTGTAACGGAGACATGACTTCTGTTACTAGAAGTTACTTATAAATGTCCTTTTCTTTTAAGTCACAATCTCCCTCCAAATAGTCCAAGCATCCCCTTAATCTGCTAGATGTGTGAGAGAACCCGTTTTTCCAAGCTTGTTACACTCTTTAAGCCTCCACGATGGTTAGTCACTGTCTCCTCTTTCAATTCTGGAAAGACTATCTCTCCCCAGCTCTAAGGGCCGGGGATGCTAGCATCACACTCAGGCATCTCAGGTATAAATAGTCCCAGCCACAGTCATGTCAGGCCACCAGCTCCTCTCAGATGCTGATAGGCATCCGGCAGCCGAGTTGGATGTGAGTGCCAGGCTGTACCCGCCCTGCCCGCTCTGCTATGCCAGCTCAGGGTAGGAGCTGGTGGCCTGGTCAGAAGGTGCTAGGGCTCCACAAAGTGAGAGGACAACAAAGGGGATGGCAGTGCTCCTGATATTAGTTTCTGTCCAGATCGGGGCTCTAGCTTTGCAGGCTGAGGAGGTCCAGGGTCAGACCTGGAGAGTCTGTCTCCCTACCAGCCTCACTCCACAGAGATTCTCCACAGCTCCTTCTTTGACCTGGTCCCCTCTCCAGAACTTCTCTGAGGCCATGAAGTCTTTCCTGAGGCCACAATAATCTGAGGCCAGCAATCACTGGCTTATACAAGACAAGGCTCATGCATTCAGCTTTCTATCTTATCCCTCCTGCTGCCCCCAGCAGAACAGGAGCCCAAGGAAATGACTGGATCATACAAGAGAACACTCTTAGACTTCCATCAGCCCAGGGAGTGCAGGAAAGCTAAAACTCAGCCTCCCTCAAGCTTGGCACAGACTCCTAGGGAACCTCAAGTTGTTGTTGTTAAGTGCCATAGATTCAATTCCGGCTCATAGTGACCCTGTACAGAGTTTCCAAGGAGCAATTGGTGGGTTTGAACCACTGACCTTGTGGTTTGCAGGTCTAGTGCTTATCCAAAGAGCTAATATTTATTCCATGTTGGGTAGAAGTACCAACAATCTAGAGGCCACGTTTGTGCTAATTAGGAAAAAGCACCTCTTCCTCCAGAGAGCTGGATTTCAGCCCCAACTGCTCCCTTGACTGGGGTGTCTTTGTTCAGTGCCCAACCTGCACAACTGTATGTGGCAGCCCCGACACTAGATCCTTTAGCTTTGTCTCATTGAATCCTCACAATAATCCCATGAGGCAGTGTCTTAGATACCTAGAGGTGCTATAACAGAATACAAGGGGAGGGCTTTAACACAGAGAAATGTATTCTCTCACAGTTTAGGAGGCTAGAAGACGGAACTCAAGGTACCAGCTCTAGAGAAAGGCTTTCTCTCTCTGTTGTCTCCTTTCAACATCTGTAAGCCCAGAATGGCTGGGAGATCTCCATGTGTCTTGGCATCAATCTTCCCCTGGGTCTAGGAGGTTCTCAGTGCAGGGACTCCAGGTCCAAAGGACATGCTCCGTTCCCAGTTCTTGCTTATTGATAGGACTGAGACTCCTCCTTCACTTACTCACTCCCTTCTCCTTTTATCACATAAAAGGGACTCACGCCCCACCCCTGGGAAGTTTCCTTTACAACAGTCCAGGACTGTGGCCTGAGTTACAGTGTTGCATCCCACCTGAATCCCTGCAAAATGCATTGGCTGATCACATCAGATCACATCATACAGAATGCTCATATGACTAATTGCATGACTGCCAAATTACCACTGAAAATCATGGTCCGGCCAAACGAACACAAGTCAATCCATGACAGGCTTGCTGTTGCTATTGTTAAGTGCTGTCGAGTCAGTTCTGAATCACAGCGACCCTGTATAGGGTTTCGGAAGATCAGCTGGTGAGCTTGAATCGCCAATCTTGCAGTTCAAACCGACCTTGCAGTCCAGTACACTAACCACAGCACCACACCAGGACTCCAGGCAGGCATTATTTCCCCATTTCATACCCAAGACTCCAGTGCAAGAGGTAGATAACTTACCCAATGAGGCTAGAAAATGGTGGTGGTGCTAGCTGCCGTCAACTCCTGTTGGCCCCACACACAATAGGATTAGACTGTTGTGATCCATAGAGTTTTCATTGGCTAATTTTTCGGATGTATATAGCAGGCGTTTCTCCCTAGTTCATCTTTGTTTGGATGCTTCATTGAAACTGGTTCTCCATCACAGCACCAAACAAACCTCCACTGACAGACAGGTGGAGGCCATGCATGAAGCGCATTGGCTGGGAACTGAACCTGGTTCTCCTACATTGTTGTAGACAGGAGAAATCCTGTCTAGGGTTTCTGAGGAGCAGTTGTTGGGTTTGAACCACCAACCTTGTGGTCCAGCACGTTATCTTGTAGCTCCACCCTAGGACTACATGGAAGATGAGAATGAGAACTCTCCCACTAAACCATCAATGCCTCAGTAAATGGTTAGTTGGTTGTGTGCCACCGAGTCAATTCTGACTCGTAGGGACCGGTATAGGGTTTCTGAGGCTGCAGCTCTTCATGGGAGCAGAAAGCCTCATCTTTCTCCCACAGAACAGCTGGTAGATTCGAACTGCTGACCTTGTGGTTAACAAGCCAGTTCATAATCCACTACACTACCAAGCTCAGGTTTTCAGAAGCCCAGAATCCTTGTCAGCGCACCCCTCTCCCTGAGGGTGACAGGCCGGGCTCTCTGGGGGTTTTCTCAGTAAGCACCTATCCCACTCCCACTTCTGCCTCCCAAGGGCAACAGCCCTTCAGTGAGCTCAGAGCTATTTCTAGAGTCAGAACAGCTGCCGTCTCCAGATATCACACTACCCATCGGAGCAAACGCACAGAAATCAGAGTCTACAAATTGCTGC